TACTCTATCGAATCTTTTATCGATTAATCGAGTACTCTAATAAATTACTCTTTTGCGTTTTTAAACCATTATATCAAATAGCATGTTATAAAATATGAAAGACCTCTTAAAATGAGCAAGCAATTGCCAGTTATTCTTCAAGTTCTATTCAAATTTAGTTTTCAAAACTTCAGCACTTCAACTTTACTTCACCGTAAACAAACGCGAGCGGCTGCGGCCCAAACAGAACCAGAACCGCTCACGGCGCATGCGCAAACATGGCTCGCCAGCTGTTTCCCTATTAACACCCGTCCGTTTTAATTTCTACACTTTTTTTTTTCTCACACTAACAAGGATTGTCGAGAAAGCATGTTTGCCGTGGTTATGTTAAATTATACAGATCACAAAACATTTATTTTCTTCCTTTCGTTTTCCTCATAAATACCCGTGTCCTCCTGCAGTGATCCAGAGGGACAACAGACATCAATAACAACACAGTAAAAAGTCCAACATGTTGTAAAAACTGCTATTTTTTAGCACATTTTAAGACCGACGTGTTGCTACCAGACGTACGGTGTGAGCTGAAACTGAGTGCTACAAATGAAAAAGTCGCACAGTGCCCACAGAATATATAGAAATACAGGCTAAAATGCATTATCTTGTAGAGGCTCCGAGTCCGCTTGCAGAAGTGACATTTACATGTGGATGTTTCCTGGTCAGGTCGCAGCATGGAGGATGTGGTGTTCTGGTAGGCTACATCCATTTTACAGTATTTAAACTGAACTACGTTTTCCGCCTTACAACGTGAAAAATGGTCCCACACCTTTGATATTTTGTGTCTTTTTCGCACTCCAACGGGGCCCACGTTGTCCGCAATCGCTTAAGAGAAAGTTAAGTTACATTCGCTACTCGCGTGTGCATCCAGTGCAGTGTGTATGTGCGTCACTTATTTCGGTCCGGGTGAAACGTGACCCCGGGCGATTGCAAAGCCATGAATTAATTAAACATGAATTAAACGAAGCCTCGAGGCAGAGAATTTGACTCGAGGATCTTTTGTACTCGAATTATTTAGAGGTATGCGAGGAATGGTTTCAGCCCTAGTTTCAACTTTCAGAGGGGGGAGTCCGAGTCATGTTTTGAGTCTATGAGAGGCAAATCCAAGTTAAGTCCCAAATGCTTGAGGGGCAGGTCAAAGTCGCGTCTCAAATCAATGGCAAGAAAGACCAAGTCATGCCTTTTAGTCTTTGTAGGCTTAATCTCCGAGTCGAGCTGTTAAATCGATTCTTACCATGAAATTGATTAATAAAAAAGGGGTAAAAGATTTAGCTGCTGTTGCAAATTATTTAAAATTTCATGCATTCAGCATCAACACGACTCACAAGTCTCTGGATTTGCTTTCCACAGCCTCTCCCCCACATTTGAACAAGGACACAAGTAGCGGTATCTGTTGTCAGGATAATTGCAGCGTTTCACGGCTTTCCCCCACTAATCTCCCGCCTGGTGACTGCCTGCCAAACAGTGAATGTGCCACAGTCAGCAGGATGGCATCTTTGACTGCAGCGAGGAGCAACCCAAAGCCTGCAGCGCCCCTCCATATTGTTCTCCGTCAGTCACACACACAAACCATTGGCTCTGCTGCAACGTCCAGCCAGGAGCAGCGCTGAGCCCCAGACAGCCGAGGCAGGTCACGGGGCCGCCCACGTCCAGCAGAGTCGGTCGGTCACGCGAACGTCGTTTGGTCGTGATCTGCTTGGATTTGTCCGTCGTCTCCTGTCTGAATAATGAGCAGCAACACGGAGGCCTGTCCCTCTGGTAGCATGAAGGCCGCTGCCTCAGAGGTGAGTTAGTGGCTGCAGCCTTGTTGGGCTTGTTGTCTCGTTGGGTTAACTTGATGGCACAAAACCAGCATTTTTATTATTTCTTTTGAATGTTGCAGCTACACGTGTCTGATGGTGAAAAAATGAAATCCAGACAGGAACAAGAGGAGAAACTGATCCTGGCTGCTTGGCGAAGCTTGGTGAGCAAAACAAACGTCTGAGCAGTGACACCATGTGCTCTGTAGCATGTCTATGAATCCAACATGTGGTCACCTGGATAAAATAGCATCTGTCTTAGTCGTGCTGGAGGCTGTTGTGGGTTTGCTTTGATGGATGTTCATGTATGAGAATTTTAGTAATTGGAGAGTCACACTTCTCCTATAAAAGGTCCTCACACAGCTCATCTCACACCCGTACCCACAGAAACCCCGTCGTGTTTTAGTCCTGCTCTTCTTTCTCTGAAGCACTCTTTTACTTTTTTATATTTAACTATTAAGCTTTTTATTTAGAGAGCTGATGAGGTCAAAACGTTGATTTAAGTATTTAGATCTAAATTCACAGGAAGACTTTTGATTTCTCTGCTAGTTTTTCAGGAAGTCACAGAAACAAATGATATTTTTTTTATTTTGCAGCAGCACCGCCCATCTCAGGATTCTGCAGCTCCTCTGTCTTTCCTTGCTAAGCAGAGGCAGCTGGTCTCCAGGCAGACCAGAAGGATAGAGTCCAGGATAGAGTTCTGTCTTTGGTCCAGTGTTGAGCAGAACGAAGGTCATCTCTGAAGAAGACAGTGTCCGGCCCCTGAAGCCCATTATCCTGCTCCAGCATCACATTTAGAGGCAGAATTCACTCTAATAAAGCCTCTTATGGACATTTAGATTCAAATGAGATGTTCTGACCTGGAAAACCTTTGAAACATCCAGGATAGATGACCTCAAGGGCCAGGGTTGGCTAGAACTTGTGTCGGGATCCAGAACCGGTTTTATGTTGGCTGATCTCGCCCCCTGCTGGTCAATACTGGTACTGATGAAGAATTTATAAATAAAATGGAATAAATGAAGAATCCTGAGAGTTTATATTTATAAATTTGTATTTTCTTCCTAATATACTTTTGCATGCAGTAGTTTTAAGATAAATAAAATGACACATCACGCACTGCTCAATAAAAATATGAATGTTTATTCATTAGTAAGGATGTAAAAATTTTATCATTATTGCTAGTATTTATAATTCATTATAAAAAAAAAATTTGTTCCAACCTTTTTTTTTTGATAAAATGAACTTGGAAGGAAACTTGTTATACCTAAAAATAAGACTGATAGATAATCTAGTGAATTATTTATGTAATACAAAGATTAATTAACTAAATTAAGGACAGATGTGTAGCCCCGCCAACCAAGTTCCTCTTTTAATTAAAAGTAAAATTGCAATATTTATGCTATAAATAAGTGCAGAATGTGCAGAGGTGTAATATTATTGGCATCAGTGAAAATGTGGAAAAAAAATACATGGGTAATACTGGTAACACTAGTGATACTAGTAATACTGGTAACATTAGTAATGTTGGTAACACTAGTAATACTGGTAATGCTGGTAACACGGGTGATATTAGTAATACTGATAACACTAATAATGTTGGTAACATATGTAACAACTGTAAAATGGTAAGGCTGGTAATGCTGGTAATACTGATAACACTAGTAATACTGGTAATGGTAATACTGGTGATATTAGTAATACTGGTAACACTAGTAATACTGGTAATGCTAGTAATACTGGTAATGCTGGTAACACGGGTGATATTAGTAATATTGATAACACTAGTAATGCTGGTAACAATTGTATCACTGATAACACTAGTAATGCTGGTAATACTGGTTATATTAGTAATACTGGTAGAGCCGGTAACTCTGGAGATACTAGTAATACTGATAACACTAGTAATGCTGGTAACACAAGTACCAACTGTAATACTAATAATGCTGGTAACACTGGTGATATTTGTAATACTGATAACACTAGTAATGTTTGTAACTTAAGTAACAACTGTAAAATGGTAATGCTGGTAACAGTGGTAATTTATAGTAAATTAATTAAGTTCAATTAACCCATTTTTCTTACATTCTTTAATGAAAAAAGTAACAAAGTAGTTATTTTTTTGGTAATTAGTTTCTTTTATAATCTTGTAACTCAGTAACTGAGTTACTTTTTTGACAAAGTAATTAGTAACTATAACTTACTTTTTAAAAGTAACTTTCCCAAAACTGCTGATAACGCTAGTAACAACTGTAATACTGGTAATACTATTAACACTGGCAATACTAGTAATACTGGTAATACTAGTAACACTAGTAATACTATTCGTCTTCGTCTTCGTCTTCCTCCGCTTATCCGGGTCCGGGTCGCGGGGGCAGCATCCCAATTAGGGAGCTCCAGGCCGTCCTCTCCCCGGCCTTGTCCACCAGCTCCTCCGGCAGGACCCCAAGGCGTTCCCGGACCAGATTGGAGATGTAACCTCTCCAACGTGTCCTGGGTCGACCCGGGGGCCTTCTGCCGGCAGGACATGCCCGAAACACCTCCCCGGGGAGGCGTCCAGGAGGCATCCTGACCAGATGCCCAAACCACCTCAACTGGCTCCTTTCGATCCGGAGGAGCAGCGGTAGTAATACTATTAACACTGGTAATCCTGGTAATACTAGTAACACTGGTAACACTACTAACACTGGTAATACTAGTAACACTGGTAATACTAGTAATACTGGTAATACTATTAACACTAGTAATACTGGTAATACTAGTAACACTGGTAACACTAGTAATACTGGTAATACTAGTAACACTGGTAACACTAGTAATACTGGTAATACTAGTAACACTGGTAACACTACTAACACTGGTAATACTAGTAACACTGGTAATACTAGTAATACTAGTAATACTATTAACACTAGTAACACTGGTAACACTAGTAATACTGGTAATACTAGTAACACTGGTAACACTAGTAATACTTGTAATACTAGTAACACTGGTAACACTAGTAATACTGGTAATACTAGTAACACTGGTAACACTAGTAATACTGGTAATAATAGTAACACTGGTAGCACTAGTAATACTGGTAATACTAGTAATGTCCATTGATTTTAAATAAATTCTTAACCTGTCTCCCCACTTGATTTTTTTAGTTGTGTTTTAAGGTGTTTTGTCCTTAAAGGTGCAGTTGAGCGTAACAATGAAAACACGCCATCTAAAGGTCACCTATGACCCGGTGAACTCTGACTCCATGCTCACACTCTGAGAACGCTGAGGCTCTTCGTTTGACGGCACGGTGAGGAGGGATTTTCTGTTTCCACAGGGCGGGGGTTTGGGAATGGTGTGAACGGCCCGGTGGTGACTAATCGCTGGTTGGGAGCTGCAGTGCTCCAGACTGTAGGAGGCTGTGGGGTGAAACGGGAACGCGGATGGGCGGACGGAGGTGACGGGAATGATGGAGAATGGTCGAGGTGATGTCTCAGGGAGAAGGGGAAGCAGAGACACTGGAGCCAAGGAGGTCACCTGCTTCTCCATATTGCTCCTCCCTTCTTCTCGACTCACCTCCTTCTCCTCCCTGACTGGATTGTTTCCTCCTTGCTCCTCTGCAAAGTGAATATTCAGCAGAGGTGTTCTGGTACTTTTCTCCTCGCTGAAGCTGCACACGGTGCTCTGGGTGTCCTGACCCAGCCCTGATGGCAGAGACCCTCCTTTACTTATTTCACAGCTTCTCTCCTCCTCTTCATCATCATCGCTGGTGCATCGTTCGATACTAGGGGAGCGGTGCAGCCTCTGAAGCTGTGCCGAGGTGCGGCGAAGAGCTCCTCCCATGAAGCCGTTTGGAGAAGGTGCGGCACTGAGGAGGCGGTTGAAGAGGGCCATGTTGGGATGGCGCGTCCCTGATTCCTCCATGTTCTCAGCAATGTCCT